TCACAGTTACAAGCCCTTGTTCAAACTGTCATGAGATGGGCTGTTTTATTTCTTAATATCAGGCTAAACCTCCTCCACATAAAAAAGATTTATTTCTGCACTTAAGTTTTCCAATTCGTTTTTTCTCTCTCAGAAATCGAGCTGACATTTCTGTGTGACACTAATGCAGCTCTTAAAGCTGCCTGATGTATTTCAGTCTTCCCATGTGCCAGGGGAGCTGGTGGGTGCCAGCAGCCCAGGACAGGGCACCCAGGGACCTTGTGGGCCAGCTGCAACCCGAATCCTCTTTGGACATTTCCTTCTCAATGAAAAGCAGGAGACACTGCTTTTCTCTGCAGCCACCTCTGCTCTCTTCAGCTGTTCTGTGGAAGCAGAGCAGTTCCTCTCCTGCCTGCAGCACACTTTTTCCAAGATTCAGGAGGGGCTGTTTCTTCCCGAGCAGTAATTCCAGAACCAGAACTATCTTTCCTGGCTGCCCAGTTTTCCAGGTCAGGTTTGTGGAGCTGCTTCTCCTGCGATCCCAGATGGAGCCGTGGGTGCTGTCCTCACCATCTCCTCCTCTTCCTCTCCTCAGCTGTGCTTAAAGTCAGCTCCACATGTGCTCCTCACACTGGTCCAACCCTCTCTGCCAACCCACAGAGCACCAGTTCAGCTGCTCTCAGGCTGCCTCCTGCACACCCTGTTTCGGGGACTGAAGCTTTTTCACCCTTTGGGTGCTCCATGGGCTCGGTGGGATCATTCTATTTCACCAGGGTTATTAATGACCAAATCAGCCTTCTCTGGATTTGCCCCTGAGGGAGCCAGGATGAGTTGTGCTGTCTGAAGGAGGGTGACAGTGCAGTGGTGGCATCAGCACAGTCCTGCCTGCCTAAGCACTGCCAGCTCCGAGAAGTTTTGCTTTGAAAGAGCTGCTCTCCTTGACCTATTTTATTTTTTTTTTTGCCCACATTTATGGCCTGCATTGTGTCCTGAGGAAGGGATCACACTGCTCGAAGGCCCTTTATTTTTAGCCAGCCCAATTTCTTGTTGCAGCTGAGTGGGAGCTGGTCCTTTCAGTTCAGCTCCATCACAACTCATGCTCTCTGTATTTGATTGCTCCTGCCCAGGTCCCTGATGTTCTTTGTACATCCATTGCTCACTCAGGGGGTTTCCTACTCCCCTCTCACTGGCTTCATTCATTCTCCTTTACTGCTCAGCCTCTCCCACTGTTCCAGATCCATGGCTGAATCTCTGATTTCCCTTGGTTTGCAGCATGGACCAGTCATTCACAGCCACAGGCTTGTCCTGGTCCTCAGCACCCCTCCACAAACTCTTCCCTCCTGCTGCTCCAATAACCTTGGCAGTGCTTCCCTTCCTTCCAAATGTCAGGGAATTGGAAATGATGCTTTAGCCACATAAAAATCAATGGCTTGGCCCTGCTCCTTCTGCCTTTACCCAGGGCAGGAGGGAGCTGCTGTTTTCTGGTGGGCCCAGAGCAGTGATTTATTGAGGTGACCCATCCTGTTCAGGCAGCTGACCAGTGATATATTCATTTTTCTCAGCCCACACACACAGCCCTTAGAAGTGGCTTGTGCTTGGCATTAGGCCACAGATGTGGGCTGAGAAATCTGCCCAGGATATTCCCTTTCTGTGACTGTGGAGTAGCAGGTAAGGACTCACTCCTAGACTTGGGTGAATGGTGTTAGAAACAATGCCAGTACTCATTTCATTTCCAAAGGATTCAGACCCAGCAAGGGCCATGTGCTGTTTCCATCAGCAGCTGTTGCTCTAAGGCAAGGAGAAATTCATTGCAAGGACTGCAGGTTACATTGCAGGCTGCATTTATTATTCCCTGGACTGCTACCAGAATGCACAGTGTGATCAAAGGAGCAGGAACAGTTCTAAGGTTCTATTTCCTGGAAATCTTTGGGGCTCTATTCATTTAATTTAAAATCCAGCTCCTGTTGGAAACCAAACAGCCATAGGAAGCATAACACAATTGATAAAGGTCACTGTGGACTAAATCCTTTCTGATAAGCAAGCCAGCTCCAGTTCTTGTCCTTGAAAAATCTTCCACTTGGGAGCCCTGGGCATCCTCCAGGCACTGGGGCTGGGGAAGGTTTGTTTCAAACAGATGTTCTGCATTATCCCTACCCCTGTTCCCCATCACATCAGGTTGGATTCCATGTGCCAGCGAGGCAGTAATAGGCACCAGTCTCTAATGTATCCGTGATTTCATGGAAATTGAAGTGTGAGAGGGAAAAGGAATGAGGCAATTGAGAGGTGCAGCTCTGATGTCTGACCCTGTCCCTGCTGCTCTCATCACACCAGCAGAAATGAGACCAAATGAGTCTATTTTCCAGTGCCTGATGTTGGTGTACAACAAATCACAGGAAATACTTCATTATTCCCCTCTAACTGTCTTTGTCTGGACCTTCACATACTTCCTACTATGATTTTTGACTCGTTATTAACAAAAATGTGCAGGGAGGATGATTGTTGATGATACATGAGCCAAGAATAGATTCCAGTTCCTTCTACCATTTTGGCACCAAAATGCCAAGAGGGATGAGACACCCTGTAGTATATGCTGTTCATTTTGAGGCAGCAACTAGAAAATATGTCTGAGCTAGGGAGAAGAATGAATGAGCCAGAGGATCTGTGTTTTGGCTGTTTGATTGCTGGATCCAGTGGGAATCCACAGGGATGGGAAATGGCATCTTCCCCATGAAATGGCAGGTACAGGGCTGATGTGCTTCTCTGCCCTATAACCACCAGTTTCTTCTTTGACTGCTGCCTTCTAATTCTTCAGGGAAAAAAGAATCTGAGCATCCTCTCAGCACTTTGCTCTTTGCTAGCCTAGCAGGGAGGTATTTCTCCTGGGAACACATCCTACTTTTCTTGAGCTGAGGGAAGCATTAAATAACATTGAAAATGAGGCTGTTTAGCAAAGCCAAAGGTGGAGGGAAAGCTTGCAGGAGTGTGAGCTGGAGCACTTGCTTGGGCTGTCTGAAGACAGCAATCCCCTTCTGTAGGTTGGAACCTTCTGGGGAAAGGCACAGTGTGAACGTAGGAAGAGCCAAATCCTTAATTTCATATGGAAGGGAATTGTCAAAGCTGTTGCAGCGCTTGAGGGTGCGAGTACATCTGCTTCCTACCAAGATGTACTTGCCTGCTTTGGACTCGGGGTCAGGTGTGATAATTAGACTCTCTCTCCTTCTCTGTCTTTCACTCAAGAATTTGATACTCTTCCAGCAGCATTCCCTGCTTTTCTCTCTTATTGCTGCCCAGAGCAGTGAGCTGGAGGGGCACACAGACCTTGGGTGTTGCATCTGTTCAGTAAATGCCTTTCTTTGGACTCCACAGTAACTACAGGTTTCCTTCATGTTAATCTAAATGAAACTGCTGCAAACAAAGCCCAGGACGGGTGTGGGGAGCTGGTGCTGTGGATTTGTGAGACTGAAGTGCAGGGGACGAGCACTCCAAGAGCTCAGAGCTCCCCAGAGAGCTGGGGGAGCAAGAAACCTCTCTCAGCATCACCTACTCGCTTTCACCATCAGGGAATTATGGCACAACATTATCCTTGGAGGCTTTCAGGTGTAAAAGTACAAGCTGTGAGGACTTTTGGCATCTCTGAGAGTCTGTGTAAGCAAGTGAGAATTAATATATTTGCATCTGAGGTACTAGAAAAAAAACCACCCTCCTCCAGTCTGCTTGGCCGTGTTGGAACAGGGAGTTGTCATCTCCAGGTCCAGGCAGGATTTGTGTCTCCTGATTTAATCACTAAACCCACCACCTTTACTGCAGTGATAACAGCAACAGGACTTCTCTTCCAAGGACTCTGTTCACCAAAGGAGCATAGGAGTGATGGAGCCACTCCTGAGGGTGTGAAACAAAACTAGTGCAGTTCTAAAGGGAGTCCAAGGAAGATGCAGCCTGCTTACAAAGTCAGTAGCTTTTGTTGTCTAGCTGGATTTAGATTTTTTTTCCTTATTATTTGCAGTACTGAATAGCAGCAAAATGTGCCTCGGAAAATATACATGACATGGCATTTATCTGTGATTCATTCTGCCTTTATAACAGCAGTCAGTAGCACTATTTGCTTCCTTGCTACTCTGCACAAGAGCATCTCTCACACATATCCTTCTCCTTCTTGCTCTTATTCCTTTAATCTTCTGTTGCTGTGGGTTCCTCCCCAAAAACTAATTTCACATTTCCTCCACTGCACCAAGAACTCTGATTTCTGATGCTATTTTATCAGTCTGCAGGGCACCATAGGAACTGCTAATTTGCCCAAAGTAGCAAACGTGCAGTAAAATAATAATAATAAAAAAAGATCCTATACATAAGTGACATGGGGTTGAGGGAAGCTTTTCCTTTAAGGTTTGCCAAGGGCCTGGCTGCAGCTTTCTGTCCCCATTTCCCTGCCTCCCTCCGAAGTACAAGGTGGGTTTGGACAAAGAAGGATACAAGAGCAATGCCACAAAAAAGAAGCAATTATTGTGTCATGACACTCTGCTTCAAGTTGGTTGACAATGTCATAAACGTAGCGTGGCTTTTGCAAAATTAGCATGATCTCCTAATTGCTAAATCTACCCTGGAAGTGGAAAAATGCCAGTGTTGGAGGGGAGTGGGATGGTGGTGGGAGCTGCTTGGGCTGGGGTTGGTCCAGCAGTCATGAGCATCTTTGCTGATCCCTGAGCGTGATCCTGTGCCAGGGACTGGCAGTGCTTGATAAGGCTCTGCAGGGAGATAAGATAAGAAAGATGCTGCAGCTCACCTCCATCCTTGGAGGGATCAGTGCCAGCTCTGTCTGGAGCACAGGAATCCACCTGCAGCAAATCCAGCAGGAGCCAAGGCAGGAGCTGCTCCAGCCCATCCGTGCTGTGCCATTCCCCCATCCCGTGCCGGGCGAGCGGTCGGGTGGGATTTGGCTCAAACTCTGTGTCTGTCAGTGATGCTTTAATGGCTCCTTTCAGCTCAGACTGCCCAAGCAGCCCAGGGCACACCTTCAGCCCCCGATGCTGGTGGCAATGAGCGCCTGCAGCAGGAAGGCGCTGACCCTGCTCAGCAGCGTGTTCGCCGTCTGCGGCCTCGGCCTCCTGGGCATCTCGGTCAGCACCGACTACTGGCTCTACCTGGAGGAGGGCATCGTCCAGCCCCAGAACCAGACGGCTGAGATCAAGCTCTCGCTGCACTCGGGGCTCTGGAGGGTCTGCTTTCTGGCAGGTAGGGTCCCCCAGCTAAAGAACATCCCCTTGGTTTGTGGGTGCCACATCCCCTGGGTGTGTCGGTGCCACCCAGCAGGAAAGGTCCAAGAAAAATGGGAATTTTAGAGGCTCCGCCCATCTCTGCTTCCAAACTCTGGCACAACCTTTGGCAAGCAATGTCATCTCTTTATGCCTGACCTTAACAGCCCAAAGGATAAATGTGGCTTTGCACACAGGCTTTGGTGAGTTTGCTGCTGCCCTGCCAGACCCCCTGCTCTGTTCCAGAGCTGCAGCCACGGTGCCTTGGGCAGCAGCTAAAAACTTTCCATGTCATCCTTGCAAAATTTAGATTCAGGTCAGCCTGGACCATTCCCTCTGTCTGTGCCAAGTTTGATGAAGCAACTTGGCTGCAGGGACAGGGTTGAATAGAACCCAAGGGAATGGGAATCTCAAAGTGACCAACCTGAAATGTCACAAAGTTTCAGCCGCTTTGGAGAAGTCAGGGGAGAAGTGAGGAGCTCTGATATCAACCCAGGGGTGGCCTTAAACCACCTGGCTTTAGAGTTCATGTTTTTGTCTGTGTCTGCCACAGGTGAGGAGCGTGGCCGCTGCTTCACCATCGAATATGTCATGCCCATGAACATCCAGCTGACATCTGAATCCACAATCAACGTCCTGAGTAAGTGGTTTGGTGGTGTTCTACCCTTTACATCCTGCAAATCACCGAGTTCCAAGCACTAAGGATCCTCCTTAAGAAATCCCCTTTGTGTCCTTGCCAAAGAAGCTCTGAATTCCTTGACAGTGCTGCCACACAAGCATGCAACTACATTTTTTACTATGGGAATTACCCATTGTGGTTGTCAGCTTTTGGGGACATCCTTTTCTAATGGCAGGATGCCCATGGAGGCTCTAAGCTGTAAAATTTCCTGTCACTGGCTATTCAGCACTAATGTTTATCAAAGTGTTTGGCTTTTTAGTCTCCTCTCCATAATTTGCAGCTGTATTTATTCCCTAGAAATTTTACACATTATATAGCAGGATGAATTAAGGATGGAGTCCCACAGCTCTCATGACGAATTCTGCAGTCATTTCTGAATTAATAAATAGAAGTGTTCTGCAAACACTTATGCAGTGAAGCTAGAGAAAAATGCAGGTTCCGATGGCTTCCTGTGCAACACTTCACACAGGAACCCTAAAAAATGCAAACATCAGCAGAGGTGGGACACTGGCATAGAGAGTCTGTGGATGCTCCATCCCTGGAAATGTTCAAGGCCTGGTTGGATGGGGCCTGGAGCAACCTGGGATAGTGGAGGGTGTCCCTGCCCATGGCAGAGAGCTGGAAAATAAGGTCCCTTCCAACTCGAACTATTCTGTGATTCCATAATCAGCTTGTTAGCAAGGAGAGAAACTCAGACACAGCATGGTCTGAGCAGGAGGGCTGGAGCCCTCTCACACAGCCAAGCCCATTTCTCACACTATTTAGGGAATATTAACCTGTCCTCACTTTGCTCTGCTCCTCTCCCCACAGAGATGATCCGCTCTGCCACCCCCTTCCCTCTGGTCAGCCTCTTCTTCATGTTCATCGGCTTCATCCTGAGCAACATCGGCCACATCCGGCCCCACAGGACCATCCTCGCCTTCGTCTCGGGGATATTCTTCATCCTGTCAGGTGGGTTTTGCAAGCCACGTTTTCTCCTGACATCCCTTGAGCATGGAGCTTTGCTCTGGTAGCAGCTGGGTGCCCTCCCAGCCTGCCCTGGTGGCTCCTTGTCGGACTCAGCACTCCCAGCTCAGTCCCACAGCCTGGTCAGACCTTGTGGGATGGATGCAGAGCTGGTTTGTGGAAATTTGGGGAAAGGCTCCCCCAGCGTGTGCAGGAGCAGGTACTGGGGGAGATGATGCTTCTCGCAGCACATCAGTGGCAAGAGAGATCTGAAACTTCAAACTGCTCACTTGGGCTGTGGCTACATGAGAAAAGTGAATGTTTTATTCATGGTGTTGTGCAAGTGCTAAACAAATAGCTGTGACAGCTGAGCTTTGAAGCAGCTCCTACTGGAGCCAGATCTTTCCTCCCCAGTGCTCACAGATTTCCCCAAATGTTTGAGTGGAATGAGAGGAGTGCCCTGGGTTAGAGCAGCAGGAGGGCAGCTTCTTTACCCAGTTATTACAAGCATATTCCCAATTTTTTTTTAATTTCCCCCGAAGTCAGGCCTTCAGGAAGGTGCTTCTTCAGCAGCTTCATCCCTGAAGCATTTCCCACTGTCCTTCTCCAGGTCTGTCGCTGGTGGTGGGGCTGGTCCTCTACATATCCAGCATAAATGATGAGATGCTCAACAGGACCAAGGACTCGGAGTCGTTCTTCAATTACAAATATGGGTGGTCCTTTGCCTTCTCTGCCATCTCTTTCCTTCTCACAGAGGTACCCACATCCCTGTAACAAGTGTATCCCATTCCCAGGGGTGGGCAGGCTGAGGCTGCTGGCAAAAAGAGGGCTCACATGGGGTTTAGGGGAGGGCTGTGAGGGTAGGGGGGTAATGTATAGCATGAAGGGGACATATGGGGGACACAAACCCAACCTGGAGCACTCATGGGGAATTTGATCACAATTTGATGCCAGGCATGAAAAGCAGAGATGAGGTTGTGCCTCATTATTCACTGCACAGCTCCAAGGCAATGGGGCAGGGAAGCGACAGCGCTGGGCTACTTTAGATCATCAGCACCAGCCCAAAAAAAATCGATTTCTGCCTTGTCCTGTCCGGGTGGCGCTGCAGCCGTGTGCAGGGAAGGCCTCAGGCCGTGTCTGTGTCCCGCAGAGCGCCGGGGTGATGTCTGTGTACCTGTTCATGAAGCGCTACACGGCCGAGGACCTGTACAGACCCCACCCCGGCTTCTACCGGCCCCGGCTGAGCAACTGCTCCGACTACTCGGGCCAATTCCTGCATCCCGACGCGTGGGCGCGGGGCCGCAGCCCCTCGGACATCTCCAGCGAGGCGTCCCTGCAGATGAACAGTAACTACCCAGCCCTGCTCAAGTGCCCCGACTACGACCAGATGTCCTCGTCCCCGTGCTGAGCCCCCCGCCCGTGCTCGCCGCGTCCCGACTCCGTTTGTCGTTTTTGGGTTTTTTTTTTTTTAGGCCGCTCTTCCTGGCCAGTTCTCTATTTATAGGAGGGTGAATATAACCAGAGAGGTTGGTTATATAACCAGTAGTGTAACCTAGAGAATTGGGGTGTTTTCCCTTTCTTTGGTTGTTTTTTTTTGTTTGTTTGTTTGGGTTTTTCTGGGTTTGTTTTATTCCTCCCTGCATAACTAAGAATCTCTCCAAAGTCCTCCTCTCTCAGCTCATCCTGCTGAGCAAACAGCAGTTCTGCCTGGGGGATAAATCCAGGGCTGGACTCAAGAACAGGAAAAAGAAAATAGAGTAGAACTAAGGAAAAAGATGGTGTATTTTTTTTGGTGTAGGTAGGTAGGCTGATGAAGTTTGTGCATTTGACTGTATCATTGAATTCTATATTTACTGGCCTGAGTGCCAGCAGGCATAAAAGATTTGCGTAACTTTCCAAGAAACAACCAGCATCAGAAAAAGATAAATTTTGCCTTGACTGAGCACTTACTGATTGGTATCTCTCACTGCTGGATATCACTTCCAGCCAGGCTGGAAAGGGAAATAGCCATCCTTGAAATGAGACCTCAGCAGGCTTGGACACCAGCAGGTTGTTGTTCCTCTATGGCCACTTGCAAACTGTTGCTTAAATATCCCACGTTAGACGGGAGGCACTCTGGGGTGCTGGGCTGGAGGGATGGCTCCAGCACCCAAATTTCCTTTGCTATCCTATAGACAGGAGGTCTGGAGCATAAATGGGAGAATTTCAGTGCAGCATCGAGTGGAAAACAACTTACACCTTTTCCATGGGAAATATCAGGTGCAGAATTTAGCAGAAAGAATTTATTTCAGTGAAAGGCAAGATCCCAAACTGGTGTAAAGTGATGTGGCTGAGATTATTGGTACAAGTCCACTGCAGCAAAGTAGTTGGCTTATTTTACATTTTGGCAAGAAAATTGTATTTTTGCTTTTAGTGTATGTGTATGTATAAACTTTGAGGTTTTAAGTTTGAAAAGTTCATTTGATGCTTTGGCATTTTGGCCTTAGCCAGCTGCCAGGGGAGAGCATCACTGGTGGAAAATAAAGGGCAGGGAAGGAAAAGGCTGTGATCCCTTACATGAGCCCCAGCTTGTCACCTTGCAGGAGAAAGAGTTTTGTCCAAGCTTTATTTCTGTTCTTATTATTTTAAATCTTACTGAAAATTTCCTTCCTGTGAAACAAAACCATCTGGGGATTCTTGGTATATTTGAGCTTGTTTTGTCTTACTGTTAATTAAAAGAAATAGAATATATGCAGTTTTAACCTCATTTGCAGCACACTGTGTAATGAATGTTGGATCTCTTCGTTTTTATTATTTAATACTATTATTTTTTATTTGCTATTAAATATTTATTATTTACAAACTCCTCCAAAGCAAGGGCCAAGTCCTGGTGCAGCACCACAGTTAGCATCCATTGCAACACCCATTCCACAGGACATCACTGCAGGAGTGTGTCCAGCCAGCTCTGGAGCAGGATTATTCTTCTCCAGTTCCTCCAGAGAAACCAGCAATGCATCTCTAGTGTACATCTGGGTAGACTCGTAATTTGCAGAGTTTTAAAATCAGGGCATCTTTTTGCAGACACAGTTCTATTTACCCTCAGTTTCTGACCCTCAAGCTTTTTTGTGTTCTCACTTCAGCCCCAGTTTTTAAGTGCTGTGTGACAGGTTGGCTGCTGGGAAGGTTCAAGCACTAAAGCACAACCCAGCCCCACCATCCAGTAACAAATCTGGTCCTCACCTCCCCCAGCCTGATAAACCAGCAGCTTTCCACCAGGATCTCTAGATTCAGTGGGAATTTGGCTCCAAAAAAGCACTGGACTTCATAAGCAATCATTTTGAGTTTCCCAGGGCCTGCTCTGGTTTGCTGGCCTTGATGCTGGTGATTTTTGGTGGCTCAAAGGCTGTTGCCTTTGCATGTAACTCTTGATGGATCCTGATACTCTCAGTCCTCGGGAGGGAGATGTTCAGGATCACCAAAACTGCTGATGCCCAGAGCCACGAGGGCTCTCTCATGGCCACGTTCCTCCACACTGGGGAGTCATCTTGTGGGTTAATCCTGTGCAGCATCAGGAGATGTCCCTGTCCCCGAGTGGAATTTTCCTTTGCACTGATTAAATACAAAATTATTCATTTTATAAATTGAAATGTTTGCCTACACAAGTAGAAGAAATTAGAAAAGCTTCATGCCTTCCTCAAGGCCCCAGAAGGTTTAGCAGAGTCTAGGGGCAAATTAGAAAAGTAATTATTTTAATTCATTGGAGAGATTCTCATCATGTGGCTGCATTTGTGAGCCTGGGAGTTCACACATTCACCCAGTGAGCACAAGTTCAAGACTGCCAGAAGAAATCTATTAAAATAAATGTTTGCTGTTGGTTCAGTAAATGCATAATTTGGGTAGGGTAATGTCGTGTTTGCAAGGCACAGGCAGCAATGGTTGTGCCTCTGGGTGCTGTTTGTCCCTCCCAAAGTGCCTGCCGTGGCAGCAGCTCTGGCTGTGGGTGCCTGTGGTCTCCTAATGCACTTATCACACCTTTGTGGACTGTGCAGAAACTTTTCCAGAGCTTTTGACCCTCGGAGACATGGCCTGGGTGAGGGGCTGGGGTGAGCCCAGCCACCCTGCCAGGCTCACCTGCCCCAAGAACCACCCTGGAGCTGCAGTTCTGCAAACAATAAATGCTTAGTTAATACAAGCAGCCCTCCCTTAGAACACCTATTAATCAGTTTATCACTTCTTCTAATTACCTGGCATGGTTTTACCCCACATCATTCCTTCCTGAGGAGCAACACTCAATCCCCTCCTTCAGTCTCTCTCCCACCCACTTCAGTGATGGCCTCTCGCTGTGTTCTGTGTCTGTTGCTTTGATTGCAATAAATAAAAAGTGGAGTTTGAGGGTAAACTACCAATTAAATTAGAGGTTTTACCCCGGTGAGTCCTTAAATTCACCCGATGGGATGAGCCAAGCCTCCCCCAGGCCCGTGGGAAGGTGACTGCTGTCTGACACTGCACACAAAATGGGCTCTACTTAGAAGCACAAAAATCTTGTTTTTCACGAATGACTAACTGGTGTCAGAGTCTGTGTCTCCTTGAGCTACAGCATCAGAGTGAGCTAATGGGATTAAGGGTTAAATAAATACCTGATAAATACCTGATCCAGGTGCAGCTCCCTGCTCCAGGTGCTGCTCAGGTCTGCAGCAGGTGAAGCTTTTTCTGTCCCTGCCATCAGCCTCCCATGCACACCTGCACCCCACAGCCTGGCTGTCCTGTGGATCCATGGCAAGGGGATGGAGGGATGGATGGATGGATGGATGGATGGATGGAGGCTGAGGGAATGGCACATGGGAGGTGAGTGAACCCCCAGCTCAGGGGAGGTGGATTCTCTGAGATCTTCTCAGGGAATTCCCAGGAGCCATCTTCCTCCTTTGTGTATGGGGTTTTTTTAATCAAATCCCCTTTCTGCAAAGCCCAAAAAGACATTTTGTGGCCTTTGTCTCCTGAGACATGAAAGCATCCCCAGGACTCTCCTCATTCCTCCTTTAGACCACAACACTCCCATGGCCCCAGGTGTGATAGGGCCCTGGTGGGAACCATTTTGCCATTAGCAGTGTCCTGACAACCCTCACTGAACCATGAGGTGTGGATGCAAGAGGTTCATTAAAGACCAGTCACAAGCAGTAATGAAGCAGCCAGGAATAATAAGGCTGTGCTGGGTCTTGTTCTCCTCCAGTTACTGCTGGAGCATCCTGAGGCTCCAGAGCCCTTTCTTGCACGGTGAAAAAAACAAGATTAAATATATAAAGTCACATATAGATGTGGATGACCTGCCCTCCAGTGCTGCTCCCCTTGCAGTGGGTACGAGGAGCCACTGGGAAGGTTCAGGTGAGGCAGGAGGTCCTGTGAGGCACTGACCCCCCACTCCAGGCAAGGATGCAGACCAAGAGCCCTGGTGAAGCTGCTGCTGTGGTGACAGGAGGTTTGGGCAGATGTTTTGGGACAAGCTGGTGCTGCTCTTGCCTAGAAGGGGGAATGGAGCTGTTGGTCAGGTGGGCAGGGAGAGAGCAAATCCTTCTGCTGGGGAAGCCCCAGATGAACTTTGCTGTTGCATCATCTGGACACAGGGTTAAAGACCTGTGCCCTTTATCAGCTTCAATCAGACAAGACCCAAAGGTGTTTTTTTTAGGGTGCTTTCCAGGCACACACCACTGCAACAGGGTAAGGACCTGACTTGCTGCACACAACATGGGGGTTTCTAGCTCAGAGTGCTCTGCTCTCAAGTCCTTGTGTTGCATTATTAATACTATTTGTCAAGGTTGTGTATTCATTTTCCCAAATGTGAGTTGGCCCCATGGGCTATTCAAGGTGTGCTAAGAAATTAAATAATCTTATTCTTCCCTGCTGATAGCTTGTTAGCTGTGCAGAGCTGCTGTGCCTGTGCTGGGGATGCTGTGTGAGCAGGCAGAATATTCACCTGAGTAAATAGTCCTCCACTAATGAGAAGTAGCTGAGAGATATTTATTTTCTTCTTCTTCTTCCTTCCTCATGGGATTTATTTATTTACTTCTTATATTTTCCCCAAATTGACAGTCAAATCCATCTAGAAAAAACAGCTTTTTTTCCTTCTGGTTTTCCTCATCCAGTTTTGGGGTCTTGGTAGAGTCTCCTTCACCCCACTGCAGCACCCTTTTCTTCACCAGCTCTTTGTGCCCAAGAATCACATCAGCTCTTTAACTCTTCTTTCTGTGAGCTGGCAGCACCACAGCACACAGGAAAGCTGTGCCTGCTGGGCAGGGAGCAGGGTGTCCCCAGGGTGTCCCCAGGGTGTCCCCAATGCCCCAGCTGCTCTGTGGGTGCCACCATGGCTGGGATGCTCCTGTGACCTTTCCTCTGTGCACTGCAGGCTTTCTGTCTATAGCCGTTGTGTAGATGTCAAATCCCAGCCT